CCTAAAGGGCATTAGGCCTTCTCAACCATTTATCCTTTCGGAATCAATGGGAGATATTTCCAAAAGCTAATACACAGAATGATATTACATCATCAGCTGTCTTATTAACCAATGGAAACAACCTAATGGGAACCGATCTTACTCCTCAAAACAGGAAGAATTGCTCTTCCAAGCCAGATTCGTAAGGATTCCAGACTAGAGGTCGGGTTCACCTCTGACACGGACCTAATGCAAAATGAGAGTGAGTGTGTGTAAGGGGCATGACACTCCAATAACCTGCACAATGGCAACCACAGAAAAAGGCAACATATATCCCACAGCAATCAAATAAAGCATGTAAAGCACTCAACAAATATATCATCCACAAACAAATCTACTTACACAGCAGGAAGGGACTCACCTCGTACTCCCATGCCAAATGCAAAAAGGTTAGTAACACAAAGCAACCAACATTTAGCATGCAACAAGATATGAATAATCGCACAAGAGGGAAGAGACTCACTGAGTACTCCATAGCCAAGTGTAAAAGGTGAGTATATCCACACACAAACAAGTAGGCATATAGGCATGATGCATATGAATAAGCATGTTATATCAATGATGGATGAGCATGTGAGATGATATGATTCATGAACATGTAAGTAAGGTATGATGCATGTCAAGATGTAGCAATATAACTATTCAAAAACAAAACAACAGAAGCAAACACCAAAGCAACAAGCCAACAATCAACAAACACATGCAACAAGCAACAAGGACAAGCAAAGACTCAACAAGAAAAGAAAACCAAAAGTTGAAAATTTCCCCAAAGTTAAAGTATTAGCTCGACCCTCGTGAACCCAGAATATGGAAACCAAAGATTCTGGGTTCAGTCCCCAGTGGAGTCGCCAATCTGTTGACGACCACTTAAGATTTTTCAAAACAATGAAAAATCAAAATTAAGTGTAAAATATAAAAGAAAAGGGGGAGTCGCCACTCGTCCAAATTATAAGGTGGGACAAGTCACCTAAAATGCGCAGAGATCGGGGTTCGGGGGTTCGGTTAGGAGTGAGGAAGGGCATACGCGCACCTCACAATCCTCCGTTTAAACACGGTTGCATACTTTAACATTGGGGGTTTTGATTCAACTTATTTATTACATTTATGTTTGAGTCTTAATAAGCAAACTTAAAAAAGAAATAAACCGAATCAAAACATTTTTTAATTTTTTTGGATTGAAATAGACAAAATCACGAACATGCATGCACAATAAACACAAATAAAATTTAAATGGACTGATTTGATTAAAATAAAAAAAATAAAGGACTGATTTGAAAAAATTTAAAACTTTTGGACTAAAGTGCTTGAACATGAAAAGATTGTGCGAAATTAAAATAAAATAGATAACTTTTGATTTTTTTACTTTTTGTTTTAGTTTTTTTTTTACTGGATTGGGTCGGGTTGGATTGAACCCGCAACAAAACACAACCCAAAAACACAATCCTTCAAATAGATAAACACAAAACAGATCAAATCTTGAACAAAAACCGAAATCCAAACGACCTGAAGAGAAATTCAGAGTTCATCATTTTACTTCTCATTTTCAGCAAGAAACACATTCATCAGGTAAAATAAACAGAACAATCTTTTTTTTTTTATTTTCATTCATTTTCCAACGAAACACATACAAGCTTAAGGACAGATCTAAACAAAATCAACAGAAAATAACAGAAACACCCACGGCGGAATTTTTAGGAGGAGGTAGATCCAGATCGGAAGGGAGGGATCCCACCCACGGGACCAGGCTCCGTTCGTCTCCTTCACTATCCTTCCCAAAAATCCCTCTGTTCAGGAGATTACCTAAAGCAAGAATACCCTTTTGTTTTCCCACCTCCAGCGAGCAGAATCGATCTTCTTTTTACACTCGACTCGAAAATCAACCAGCAAAAGACCCCCCTCTTCTCCTCAGAATTTCCTTCTTCTGCTCTCAAAAACCCAGGCGAGACTCCCCAACAAAGAGACCCAAAATCAACCAACCATCCCCCCCAAAATCAATACCGACCTCCCCTTCAATCTGATTTTTTCTATATATATACCCAAATAAAAAATAAAATAAATAAAAAGACTTGCTCCTGTCAATCAGTAATGATGAAGATTTCGTCTGGCATATACTGTAGCGAGCAGGAGTGCAGGCGCGGTGCAGCAGCAGTGGCTGGCGTGCAAGCAACAGGGGCGTGATTGCAGGATCAGGCGCGCAGAGGGGAGAGTGCAGGCTCGGTGTGCAGGGAGGCAGGGGCGTGGAGTGCTGATGATGGCTCGGGCGTGTAGGGGCATCATTGCCAGCAGTGGGGCGCAGCAGGGCAAGCAGAGTGCAGGCGATCTGGTGCAGAGCGCAGGAGCTGGTGCAGAGCAAAGCTGGTGCAGGAAGCAAGGCCGGGTGCAGCAGGGTGCAGGAAGCAAGGCCGGGTGCAGCAGAGTGCAGACGATCTGGGCGCAGAGCAGGGAGCAGGGGCGTAGCTGCAGGGGGTGCGAGGGTGTGATGATGGCTAGTCCGGTGATAGGGCGGGTAGGGCGCATGAGCTAGGGGCGTAGGAGCTAGGCGGGTTTAGGGGGAGAGAAGGAAACGAGAAAACCGGGGGCGGGGAAGGAGGAAGAAAACTCCCGAAATATATATTTTTTATTTCCCTTTTTTTTTTCTTTTTGTTAAATGGGTTTTGTTTTTGGGTTTGGGTTTTGTTTTGGTGGGTTTTGGGTTTGGGTTTTGTTTTGGTGGGTTTTGGATTTGGGTAATTTTTGGTTTTGGGATTTTGGGCTTGGGTAGTTGGTAGGCTTTGGGTTTTGGGTAATTGGGTTTGAGTCTGGTGGGTTTTGGATTGGGTTTGATGGGTTTTGGGCAAGACTTTGCATTTCACCCCTCCAACTTTCCATTTCTTCAATTGAGTCCTTTTTCTCTCATCTTCTTTTCCAATCTTCTTTGTAAAATTTCCTTTTTGCTCCCCCCTTTTTTTTTTTGAATGAACCTAACAAGTAAAACAAAGATAAAACATATTAGTAAAAATAAAATAAAATTCTATTAAAATTTGAGTTATGACAGTTGCCCCTCTTTTCTTTTCTTTCTATTAAGAATGAAAAGAAAAGACAAGAATAACTCAAAATTTTGTTTTTGTTTTTGTTTTTTTTTATAAATAAACTAAACAAGTAAAGGAAAACGTGTCGAATGACTAAACATGTAAAGTAAAAATGGTTATGAAACCGCAACGGTCGAATGACCGAACAAGTAAAGTAAAAACGGTTATGAAACCGCAACGGTCGAATGACCGAACAAGTAAAGTAAAAACGGTTATGAAACCGCAACGATCGAATGACCGAACAAGTAAAGTAAAAACGACTATGAAACCGCAAGTTGAGTAGCAACGGTTGTATAACCGAGCTAGAAATGGTTTTTTAACTCAAATGATTATTTTGATGTCTAAAAGATGGATTTTTCTTGAATTTAACTTTGAAGAACCTCTTTTTCTTTTTTCTTTTTTCTTTTTTTCAAAAGTGTGAAATGCTTTGGATTTAGTTGAATAAGGCCCACATTTCACACTTAATCCCAGTGGAGTCGCCAAATCTGTTGACGACCACTTAAGATTTGTTTTTCAAAATAAATTGAAAAAATCAAGTGTGAAAAATATAAAAATGAGGGAGTCGCCACTCGTCCAAATTATAAGGTGGGACAAGTCACCAAAAATAAGTCTGCGCAGAGATCAAGATTCGGGGGTTCGATTAGGAGTGAGGAAGGGCATACGCGCACCTCACAATCCTCCGTTTAAACACGGTTGCATACTTTAACATTGGGGGTTTTGATTCAATTGATTCATCATGTTTATGTTTGAG